GTTGATATAACGGTCGGCTGAACAAGAAAAGCAACCCTCCTAGTTTCACGCTGTTTCTGGCGTGTCGGTTCTATAGTTTCGGGTTCACCTGTCGACCAACCGAGTCTAGAACTTCGATTCTCGAAAGCCGAATCTACCGTATTTTGAAAAGCAATGGAATAATGTCCGTGGAAACAAAGTCTGGATCGTGTCCTTTAAGTACAGCAGGGCCTCGATCGATACGTGACTGTGACAGTGAAGAAAACCGTACGTAGCCAGACACGTCATACATATCACCCGGAAATGAAAGTTATATTTTTAAATTAATTTGTTTCTAGTATCCGACATATTTAAATTTTACGTCTAATTTCTCTGTGTTTTCCATTTCTTCGGAAGAAATTAATTGAAATAATATTATCCTACTCTTAATCGAGGTCCTAATGCATTTCCATATCAGCTGCATTCTAATTACACTTATAGAGCCTCTCCGAGTTATAGTGACTTTACGTGCAACCCTTTCAGTCGGTGTGCTGTGTGATACCTGTGAGGGTTCAGGTCGCTAAATTACTACTTCTTCAGGGCTGCACTTATTTGGCCCAATTTACTTCCTTTTATCATACCTCTTTGTATCCTTCAAAAATGAAATATTTTTTTCTTCATAGGATGTAAAACTATTTTAGAGAATAAAACATGTATATTTTATCCACTCGTATTGTCATATGTATAGGACTCCAAAAACTACACCCGCAAAAATACGTCAACCGTCCCTGGGCGCTTGATTTGCCACCGAAACACTTAAAGAGGCACAATACCAGTGTTCTTCCACCCAATTCACAGCAAAGACTTACCCTCATTCGGTAAAAATATTCCCACCTTTCCCAATCCATCACAGCCCCGATACCCACAGCTTGTTAGGAACCGTGTTAACACAATCGAACCTTGACCTCCGCTATTCATCATCCCCTCCCCCGAAGCGTGTGGCAAATATCGTACCGTTTCATTTCGGTCCCCACCCGGCAGAATGCAAATTCCCTATCCGTGCTCCAACAACGTTTGATCAGTGGCGCAGGTACGGTCGCTGTGTCGTTAGGCAAAAGTTACCTACTGCCACCCCTCCCTGATTGTGCGTTGAACTCAGGGCTCGCAGAGAGTTCTGCCAGTCTCTCTCTCTTGGGGCCGTTTCAGTATTTGACTGTTCGAGCGCGGTGGTTGGAGCGCGGGGTGGAGAGCCGCCCCCTCTCGATCCCCCGCCCCTGCTAGCCCTCCTGGCACCAACGTTATACCGTTTCTCTGTCCGTTCCATATGCTCCTGGTGTCCCGTTCTCTCGGTCCCACTTTAGGACCGCCGTTCCTCTCCGCTGTTGCGCTCCTGGCGCTGCACTTCGACTCCTGTCGAGACGACAGAACGCCATAAGCAACCAATTTAAATGTAAATTGAAAACCACCGCGGCATACAAATTGTTCGACTCGCCGTCAAAAAATACTGCGAGCAAAGATCAAACGGAAGACAAGACGCGCGAGAGGGTAGCGTTCGCTCGCCTTGCTCGCTTGCTTGCTCACTCGGCCGAAGTGCTCGCTTACACACGGCGAGCGGAGGCAACGGGGGCCCCCTTTCTCGATCCGGCCGAGATAGAACGAGAAAAGCCGGCCCCGGAGAAACGCCGACGTCGTCCCGCCGGATCGTTCGCCAGCACGGTCTCCCCACTCTTCGCTGATAAATTCTTCTTTAAATATTTGCCTTCGCGCGAGCGAGCGAGCGTTCGCCAGCGAGCCACGTCCTCGGGAGGTTCCGGTTAACGCGTGGACCCGCGGTCCTCTTCCGCGACGGAAATCAGATCATATTTGGGTGGGATTTTTCATCTTCTATTGGAAGGATTTGTTTCAGTGTTATCGAGGAAATCTGGTTGGTTCTTCCTGGTTCTCGTGTACACTCGGTTTTCTTGATGATCGTGGATAGATTGGAGTGCGCTGGTCTCTGGAGCTGCACTCCAAAGGCTTTCTGATCTGATAAGGGAAGAAGCCCAACTGTCCGACTTCGATTTTAACGGCGCTTTGTAGGATGATAGTATGATAGGTTCCTAATGATATACTATGTGTGAAATGTGGTGTGGGGAATCGATACGTTTTTAAGATATAAATAATTAAAGTTAGGGAAGGTTGCTGAGTTTGGATTATTTTCTAGGTTAGACCACTACTTTAACTTGCCATGTGTAAGCAATTAATGACAGATAATATAAGTTTACAGCTCTATATCTAAGTAAGCTAGTTAATGCAATCACCACTATCATACATGTCCAGTCTATTATATGGCGAAAATGCTTACATATTACAAGTTACAGTAGTGGTTCAACCTAGGCGATCGTCCAAATTCGGCAACCTTCCCCTGCGTACTTTTAAAATGTACTATGAATGTAAATTAAACTTATTAAAGTACTTTGACTTAATAATATATCTATATCTTGAAGGTTCGTAAATTTAATTGTTTATATCTTAACAATTATCGAGTGTTTACACCTAATGTTTCACATATATCATTAGGAACCAACGTATCTACTATCATTTTACAAAACCCCATTAAAATCGGTCTTCTGCATTTGAGATTTGCTACCAGATTTGCTACCAGATTTACTACCAGATTTGCCGTAGATGGTTATATAGCTGTGGTGGATCTCCATTTATCTGAATGTATCAACACAGACACGATGATTTGGACAATTGTCATGGTCGGACAATAGGAGATTCCAGTGGCTGTGGTTGCTCATAGTCAGACACGCAGCCCGAACAGTAGGCGTTAACGTGGCGAATTTTGCTATAGTCTGCAGTCAGTCATCCGACTTTCACGAAATGAAAATCCACTGTAGTGCGACTTCTGACCCGCCAGAATTTAATTAGTAGACTACGGATGTTTATGCAAAATCACAATTTTAGGCATTAATTTTTAAACATAAAAATTAGATAGACATTTATTTCCTGCACTAGAATATACAGATATCATTAAATTTTATTGAACTTTTTCTTTTACTACATTTTGCATATTAAAATTTCCCTTTAACCAGTTAAGCGTGGAATTTAGTTTTAAAAACCCTCCACCGTGTGCGGAATTAAAATCAGGCTATGACGTGTATACACGTCGAACGCAGGGCAAAATGGTCCTATTATAAGTTCTATGAAAAACGAGGAAGAACTTCATTTTTATTTATCATCCCACCACCCCCTCTGTATAAAATATTCAGCAGTTCTATTGGTAATATAAAGGAAACATTCCATCAAATAATATTTTATTAAAATCAGGCTATGACGTGTATACACGTCGAACGCAGGGCAAAATGGTCCTATTATAAGTTCTATGAAAAACGAGGAAGAACTTCATTTTTATTTATCATCCCACCACCCCCTCTGGATAAAATACTCAGCAGTTCTATTGGTAATATAAAGGAAACATTCTATCAAATAATATTCTTATTGGATTTCATTAAAATTTAGATTTTATAGTCAATGGTAATTTTTTATTTCTCACGACGTGTATACACGTCGAACGCACCGTAATAAAGATTTGGTTCGACGTGTATACACGTCAAACACACTTAACTGGTTAAAAGCATAATCCTCCGCAATCTAGTAATTAGTGTATGTTTCACCCATTGCTAATGAAGGCTTACGGTTTTTCTGTAATTATGAGAACGGTGAGCCAGGGCGAAACGGAAATGCTTCCAACGAATTTTCGATTCCGTCCGGGTGGATTGTGCCCGACGCGTTGAAAAATTCAGTCGTTTCGTTTCAGGACGGGGGGAGCAGGAAATGATGCTCGTTGAAACGTTCCGGTTGAGTTTTGTTTTCGAGATTTTTTCAAACATGATTCACCGATGCAGGATTGCACTGTAAACGGTGAGGAAATTGAATGGGGGTTTAACCGGAAGATATAGTATCAAAGTTCCGTAGTAATTTCCACGTACATTATTTTAAGAATACCCTGGAACTGCGAAACAGACACATTTATGAAAGTCTAGGCATTTTATCGTACTAAACGGATATATCACTGTCATTTCAATAATGATTTCCAGTGTCATTTTGCAATGACTATTATAACAGTTACAAACTACTGTCGAGTCGTCGGGTACTGTACGATACCGATCCGAAAAATCTCGTGGCAGATCGACAGAGAATAGTAGCCAAGGGAGAGTGTCGTTAAAGAAATTCAAGGATTCTAGAAGAACTGTCGCGACGGTAACGAAACCGGATCAGAGTTCGTTCTCCGGCGGAGAATTTCCATCGACTCGAAACCGGCCGCCTCATTGCGAGGAATTAATTTCCCATTCGTGAGTGGACCGTGGAGGGTTAGGGAGGGGGTGTAGGGGTAGACGGGTTCGACTTACCATAATTTTGGTAGCAGCGGATCGTTCCCCTGACTGGCTGTTGAATATTCCCTCGCTTATTAGAAAGGGTTTCTGTAATCGACGCCAGACACGAGCGAGGAGTCGTGGCCCCGGTGTGTGTAGCCGCCAGTCAAATGGATTCCAATTAAAGTAATAACGAATCCGGCGTACCGTTTTCGTCGCAAATAATCATGCGTGGTTCGGTAGGCAGCGTCGCGCGACGTGTCCCTTTCCTCACCCCTCTCTCGATCGACCGATCATTTCTTTTCCGTTCGAGCGTTCCTCCTGCGCTACCGTCCTGAAGAAAAAAAAAAAAGAATAACCAAAAAAAAAACAGTCTCCGAAGCAGTTCGACGTCGAATTTAAATCGGTCGAATTAACGAAACGACGAGGCGGCTCCCGTTCCCGGGACACGACGATAAATTTCTAGGAGGACAAGGTCGTTCGAAACCGTCTTCTCTGGTGTCCCTTGGACGAACGGGCCCGAAAATTTTTCCACCCTCTAGGTCCACTTCCGCCAGATCCAAGGGATTCGTACGAACAGAAACAGGGTTGCCTCCCACCCCCGGCATGGTATGTTCGTTGCGCGTCGTGTAACTCGAATTACCGATGCACTTCGGATCGCCCGCGTAAATTTAAATATCCGAAATGGCGCCACCGCCGATAGGTGAGAGTGCTTGTTAACGCAGCGGTGGGGCCATCAACATAATTAACCCCTCTAAGTGGAGACGCCTGTGTATCATTATTAGTACACGCGCAACCGGGATGTTATGGGGTTCGAGTGTGCTTACGAGAATTTAGGGGCCGCGTCAGGTGTCCTGATTCAGCCAGCCGCTAATGCGAAATATCCAATTAAACGGTAATGGTGCCTTTATCGCATCCGGTGACACCCGGGGCCCCCCTGTCCAACGGAATTTTGCGTATGTCTGAGCCACCCTTGGAACCGCGCGACCACGACGTCTCACCTGGGACGATCGTATTTTTTTTTTAACGTTTAACGACGTTTCTCGCGAGCATATTCTCACGGGAATTAACACGGGGCACTCTGTACACTGTGATCAGGAGTCGCGAAGGTATCTTAACCCACCGAGGATCATAAACGTGCAGAAACACCAGATTGTACAATTTGTACAATTTGCTACGAAGAAATAATAATTTCACTTCGTTAGATGTACATTTCTTGTTGTTACATTTAGAAATAGTGGTGATTCCTACACGAGAAGCTTAAAAAAAACGCGTGGTCGTCGTTAGTGGGTTAAGCAGCTTTTGGACGTAGGGTATGCTGAACCTCGTTTGCTATTCTGATCGATCAATCGTTATAAAATGCATTGCCTAGAAGAAGTCCTGCGAAGGATATGTGAGTCCGATCAGTTACATCCCCCTAAGCCCACCTTCACTAACATAACCGTAGGATATTGGACATACGTACTGTCTTATTGGCCGGCGCGATGACATCGACCAATCGGACCATACAATATGCGAAGTGCCCCTCTTGCCTCTTTGGCATCTAGCTGGACTTCTTCTTAGCAAGGCACTTTATTAAACAGGGATTATTAGTATCTTAAAGAAACGTCAAAGTACTCGAAATAATCGGGTCTCAACGTCCTCAGTAATGAACTCACCCCTTCGAACCTGGATCGAGTACTAGGATTATCTCTGCCTCTACCACGATCACCCCCAGCCCACAATCCCCATCCACCTTAACCCACGATATTCCCTTCAGACTACCTTCCATAGAGGAGGAGAAAGCACTCGATTATATCGCAGGCGACGGAATAAATTCACATCGCTGACCGTCAAAACCACCCCACCCCCAACCCCCCTGTTTTATGCGTTACCATTCCAGTTCGCAACGGATATTCCTGCGTACCTGTTGCTCTCTCGGAAGGCCTCGACATCCGATTGAACACGGCCGCCAGGGCGGTCCGATACGGGGTAAACGGCGTGGAAGTGTGGGCCGCACCATCACGCAGCCCCCACACAAATCACACGGTGTACAAGGCGGACGCTGTGCTGGTCACCCTACCTCTAGGCGTGCTGAAGGCATCCGCCCCGCCGTCCGCGGTCGCCTTCAATCCACCGCTTCCGGACTGGAAGTCCCAAGCGATACAGAGGCTCGGTTTCGGCAATTTAAATAAGGTAAGACCCCCACCACTGCTGGCTCCTCCAACATCGAGGGGGAAAGGGAGAATATATCGTATCTCTATCTTTCTCCTCGTGGCGATGGGGGCCCTTCGGGGGGCCCCCGCTGATTTATGCGCCCGGCGAAAACGACGATCGAACTTGTCGACCGGCTCCGGAATGAGATATATTGTGATCCGGCGGTCTCTTTCGTCGCTTGCAGAACGGGGCCCTGGTGACGTGGCTCGTGTCGCTTCTTACGCCGGGACACGTTCCTTTTACGGCCCTCCCCCGAACCGAACCACCCCCCCCCCACTCTCCCCGTTTCTTCATTTTACGACCGCTGGACCCGCTCGTACTTTCGTATGCGAAATTAAAGGTTCATCGCGCCGTGGAAATGGGCTACGGCTGTCAGGATTTCTCGCCCGATAGCCCGGTTGAAACGGAATAAATTGAGGGTAATTTGGATGAATCGCGGCGGGAGGGGGGGATGGAGAACCTGCGGCGCGGAAGGGAGAGACTGCTCGACGATTCTGGGAGATCTGTCCGAGGGGACGCGTACCGGTCACCCGGAGGGATTCTGCTGGGAATGGTATATTGCCTGAGCTGAGACTGTTTGACGAGTCGAGAAACGGTTACATACCCGAATTTCTACGTCTCCGGTTTTATGAATTCGACAAGCATCGTGTCGAATATTTTTTCTTCTAAATCAAAGAAAAATTACAAAATTTGTGCCGCGTGCTTTATCTTGTTATTTGACCAGCTGTAGAATAATTTAAGCTGATCATTTGTGGTCCACCCTGTATTTGAGTCACCGCTCTATCATTCAGACCTTTTATTTCAAACCACATCGGGATATTTCGGGAAATCTCTGTGCCCTGATTTATCGGGAAACGAAAATCTTGTCTTCGAGAGTCGCGGAGTTTCGAAAATTTAACGGTATCTGACCGGAACTTTCGAAATGTCACGATACCTCTGGGCACGTCCGTTGCAAAAGCAAGAAACTCCATTTTACACGATCGATCCCCAAGTTCACCAGTGTTAAAAGATAAAGAGAGAGAGAGAGTACGGTTCGTGTCCCCTTGAGTCCGTCTGTCTCTCACGAAGAGGGTGATCATTAGCCGGACCCTGGCGTTGCTCGAGCATTCAAGAGGGTTGAACGTTAACGCCGCTAAATCCGTCACGTCAGGTGGTGCTGTGCTTCGAGCGGATCTTCTGGGACCCGACCGCCAATTTGTTCGGTCACGTGGGCAGCACGACCGCGTCGCGGGGCGAGCTTTTCTTGTTCTGGAACTTGTACAAGGCGCCTGTGTTGCTGGCTTTGGTCGCTGGCGAGGCGGCCTGCGTGATGGAGAACGTCAGCGACGACGTGATCGTCGGCCGCTGCATCGCCGTTTTGAAGGTAACAATCTAATATTCTTCCTTTCGTTTTCGTACAATAATCAGCAAAGGTTGATTTATATTATCCATATTTTACACATAACGGTTCCGTGTATCGTCAACGTTCAGACACAGACACGAGTATTATACGTTCCTCGGACGGTCGCATCGTCTGATTATTTATCGTCGGATTTACTATACATACATTCAAATGCATCGAAGAATCGTCTAATCGGATACATTCCGTGTCTCTAGTAGTCTCTACCGATAATATAAATCAACCTTAAAGAGAGGTTAGGCTGCTCCTCGAGGAAGAGTATACCGATTCTCGACTGTGACTGTATTTCAGGGTATTTTTGGGAATCAAGTGGTGCCCCAGCCACGTGAAAGCGTGGTGACGAGATGGCGGGCGGATCCGTGGGCAAGAGGATCCTACAGTTTCGTCGCGGTCGGCAGCTCGGGTAGCGATTACGATCTCTTGGCCGCCCCGGTCGCCCCAGCGCCCACCCCCGGCGCTCCACCCCCGCAACCGAGAGTCTTTTTCGCAGGTAAATATTTAGCCTCCGCGTTTATTTCAAGCGGCTCCGCTTTTTTTTTTTTTTTTTTTTTTTTTTTTTTTTTTTTCATTCCACGAACGGATGTAACAAAGTCCCCGCGCGCGCGTTCCTCTTTTCGCCGGAGAACGAGGCTGCAAGTTTTATGGACACACGACCGAGAGCCGTTTCGCTTCACGGAAATTCGCTTTTCTGGTCCCTTCTTGCTTTCGGGACTCGTTCAACCGGCACACGGTTTACAGAGCAGGATTTAAATAGTTTCGTAACGGGTTCGTTGAATCGTTTTATGAAAAAATTATTCGGTCGGTCGGTAACTGGTTTGACTCTGGAAATCAAAAACTAGTGATACTAAGGTAAGAACTAGTGATACCGAAGTCAGAACTAGTCATACTAAAGTAAGAACCAGAGGTATTAAAGTTACAACTAGTGATACTAACGTAGTACTAGTATTATTAGAAATATTACTTTACAAAATCTTACTGCTCATTTTCATAGACGATACCAGACAGAAATTATTCTACTAATTACGATCAAATTCCTGCATTCTTCGCTTTACTGAGTAACACAGTACCAAGTTCTCGAATAACAAAGAAATATGAATTGTTTAAACGATGGACTTCTGACCCCAAAATATCAAAGATGGCTATTTCGTGTTAAATTATTATACGTTTGTAAATATCCTTTCAAGAGAAATTATTTCTGAATTACATGAATAATAATAAACGCGACGTACAAGAAGACCCTAGCCTAGCTAAGAAACAACAAATCGATATCACTACTCGCAGATATGATTGCATATCCGCTTACTGTACTCGTCAAATTAATGTCGCCAATAATCAATCGTAGTTTCACACTATTCCAGCTAGGATGAAAAAACCTAACATGATCCTATACTTTCAACTAACCCATATTTAGACTCTAGTCCCTATTTGTACCTCCTCTAATATACGTCCATCGATATTCTTCCTTCTTTCACGCGAACGAAATCGTATCACAATTTCTGCACCGAGCGAACACTATGATTTTCGTATCGATCACGGACCAGACTTGATTTCTGTTCTTTCAGGCGAGCACACCATACGGAATTACCCAGCCACCGTGCACGGAGCGTTCCTCAGCGGTCTACGAGAGGGTGGACGGATCGCAGATCAACTATGCGGCAGCCCGTACGCGCCCCCGACGTTGCCTCCTTCCGGTACACCGACAACTGTGATACCGTCCGTGACCACCGGCACCAGTTCCACGCCTTAATGATCTCTCGCCGACGACACCCGGCCCTTGATTACTCTTTAGACGATGAATGAACGCGAGACGGCGCCCAGCACAAAAACCCTCCAAGCGCGTTCACTCGCGAACCCAGCCGGGTCGCTCGCGATCGTGTTTCCAGTTACGATTTCGACGTTAATTTCTGTCGATCTGGCCCGTATACGAACAATGCGGACACGATCATTTAGATAGGGGAAAAAAAAAGAACTGTTTAACGGTGATCATTCATCTGATTCGCTCGACGTGGGTTAGATTTCCTTCGGCGGTCCTCGGTTCGAGTATGATCGAACATACAGAGGGATAAAATGATTGAATTCTCAGTGATTATAGCTACCGAAATAGTACATGTTATACCAGTATCGTTCGATCGATGTTTGAGAACTTACGTTTCCTCGAGTTCAGCGTTGACTGTAATCTTATACACTCGCCCGAGCGACGGAATTTCGAAGTCCATTAATCTCGATGTTGAGACCTCAATGTAAAGCGAACTTGTGCGATAATGTTTGTTTATATATCCGAATCACCGTATTTCCTGTGTATCGTCCGAGGACTGCGGCAGGAAGCCACACATCGTTTCATTAGAGTAGATTCGTGCCTTGCTTCGTTCCACTTTGACCGTATTCGCCGAGCCCCTAGTTTGTATCATATACTATAGGTATCGTTTACACAGTACTCTTAGCGTATTCTGTTATCTGGAATAACCTTTTTCTACTCGCCTCGATATAACTGTACCACATATGATTCTCGAACAGTCCCTGTCCGGACATCTCTGGCCTAGGTAACATGCTTCCGTCGCTTGTCACGCGGTCTCCAGATCGCCGCCAACCACCTTCCAGCACCGTTCGAAAAAAAAAAGAAACAAAAAAAAAACAACAAACTTCGCCGCTGGATCATCGGAACAGAAGCTTCTGTCGGCCTGTAAGAACCATCATTTAGGAAGAATGTTTGCGAATGTCGCTCGCCGCGAGAGCCACGAACGAACGAGTCTCCCCTCGGTGGTTTCGTGTATCCGTTATTGTCGTCACACTCCGAAACCACCGAAGGACAGAAAGGAAAACCACTACCAGATTATATTTTCGTTCAAGTATAATTGCACCTTCGATCGGACGCGCACGGCCACTCCTCGAGACCCGATCAATCGACACAGTTGCGACAAATCGAGAACCCTCTGCGACGTAACGGTTCTCACCCCTAGTTTACGACTAAATTTTGTAAACGTACACAAGTTATATACAATCCCGTTGAGTACCTCTTGTTCGAGTCGAGGTACATAATTCTCAGCCAACTCGTTCGTCAACCGACGCGTCTCTCCGAATCCATACGCGTACACACGTGAATGCCTCGCGAAAGGCAGTCGAGATTGTGAGATCGAGCGCACGTAAGAATGTGTACAATAAAAGAAAAGATAAATTTATATAGTAAACAAGGCGTCTCCGCGTGTGTTTGTGCGTATCGCCAAGAACCCCGTGTATCATGGTACCAAGTGGTAATCTCGGGGACTTACAGTCACGAGGATGTAATGCTTGTATGGTCGTTTTCGACCCATTTTATCGGAGGATTCTCCCGATGTGATCGAGTGACTTCGCCATTGTGAGGAATCCGTCCCGAATCCCGTCGTCGTTCGTCATCACCCTCGAGCACGTTCGCACCGTTGTCCGATGGGACACTTAGGGGTAAGTTAAGCTGCGCAATAAGAACTGTCAATGTCTCAAGAGAGGATTCCTGGCGACTATTCGCGACGGAAACTAGGCGTATATTCGTCACCGAGTTCCGTCGCGCCACTCGTTGCTCGGTTCGCCCCTTGCCTCGGACAAAAAACGGTCTCGGGGCTCTTTCAGCGATCACCACCACTACCGACAACCTTCTTTCTCTCGATATTTCTCTTTTCGTTGACTGCGCGCACCGGGGGTTCACGGGGAAAACGCAGCTTTTCTCCGTGGGAAGACGCCGTATGAAAAAAGATCCCGTCGACGAACGGAAAAGCCTCTAACAGCGGGGAAATAGGTCACGCGGTTTCAGACAAATTTATCGAGCTGCTTGTTCGGTTCTATCTGGCGGGGATATAACGAAAAAATTTCCATTCGTCGATTTGTTTTTCTCGGTACTTCCTTTCTACGTCTTCCTGTCCGTTGCTTTCTCGACGAATTCGTAGCCCGTGGACTTTTCACATACATTTTTAAGTACACGCGCCGTTTTTCCGGGGTTTTAAGAGCGAAATAAATTTGCCGGTTCTAATTCCACGGATACGGGACAGATGAGAGTGGGGGGCTGATGTCGAAAGACCGGAGGAACTTTCGTTGAAGAACTTTAATGCATGGGGGCTGCGTTACCCGCAAGAGCCCCACACTATCAAAAATTTAACGTACAAATACCCTCGTTAGGAGTACTTACAGGCTTCAGCGCGTGGCCTCTCGCCCGGGGGAACCACCTCGTTGATCATGGTGTCCCCTACGCCAGGTTAGTATGAATCGCCCGTCATTCCGGACCCCATGATCAATTCTTCCCGTTGTCATTTCACCTTCGAGAAACGAGGAAAAACGAAACTCCATCCATCGGAATTTTTGGTGAACTGTCCACAATAATTGACTAACGAATCGGCGATACGATCGTTTCGATTCGGTTCATCGGGTGACCCGATAAAAACGTGTTCGTACGTTGACGCAGACTTCCCTCGATATCGAATCGAATTTCATTGACACGGGATACTTCGACGAACAGAAGAAAATCAATTTTTAATATCGGAAGAAACGGGATTTTCAATAATGGATTTAATATTACAGTTTTACACGGGTATTCTTGATCGTACATTTACGAAAGTTCGAATTCTTCGCCGCGGAAAATGGTCGAACGCGACGGGGGGAATGTCGGATGGCGGAATTTTCGCGCGATGGAGTAATTATCCGACAGAATCGGCCGTAAAATCGTCCGATCAGACGGCGGCTAGGCAACGGAGAGGGAAACTCGACGGCAAAGTGCTAACATTACGCGCCGGTGGAACTTCAGGACTTCGACGAGGGGCTCGTCTTTCAAGTTCATCGAGTTTACGAGACTCGGTGTAGTTCGATTACACGCCCCTGGGCACGGAAGGCTGTAACGCAATATCTATATCGAAGTAATCAAGCTCACAATATCCCCGAATTAGGCAGGAAATTTCGCGAAGCCGGAAGCCAGAGCGATTGCACGCAGTGGCGAGACGCAAATTATGCGAGACGGCGACCCTCCCACCTTTCCATCCCTCGAGCCGAAACGGGAGGGGGGCACGTGAATAATTTTCCGAGGATCTTTCTCCTTACAAATTACATCTAAGTGTTAAATTAAAATGTGTAATATTTGAAATACTTCAGATATACGTTTTAGGAGAAGAATCAGAGCGATTTAAACATCTACCAGTTGTCACCAGCAACAGCCAAGAGATTCAGGTTGCCTGTTTCAGGTGTCTCACCCTGTATACATGATGAAACAGTTACTACTTTTATAAAAACTATTGCAGCTACTTTATTATCGAACGAACTCTTTTGGATTTTCTCGATATCGTTCGACTGGCTTTCGAGAAATATTGAATTCCACTCTCAGCCCCGGCCATAGAAAAGTCTCCTAGAGCCCGGTAATTTACACTACGGGTCGCTCTCTCACAGTCCAGGAATCCTTTCAGACACACAGTGGACCTCCTCGAAACGCAGTCGCGTGTGGCCGGTCACGTTCCAGGGCATTGAACGACATCCAAATGTACCCAGCCTAACCGTAGCCGTAACTAGACCGCCGGTGCAAATCATTCAACCCCTGGGCTCCCTCCACGAACTGAAATATTAATTCAATAGGGCTGGGCATCGTCATAGTAACACCGTAAACACCGTATCGAAACGGTCCGGCCACGTCGAAGAACCGTGACAGAAGCTGTCAGAGTTTGGATTTCGTTTCGAACGTGACTCTTTTGCATCGAGAGCAGCATCATGCCTATGCACAAGGTGCAATGTGGTCGGTTGATCCCGAAAAGGTATCCCCAGGCTGTGATCGGCAGTCCAAAAGGGGCGTTGGGTTATCGAGTACGTGAACGGGCCGATTGCAAGATCGTGCCGTACGAGGACAGGTCGATGATCGAGAAGCACGAAGAGGAGATGAGGAGAGAGTACGAACATCTGATAAAAACCATGGATTTCGAGGAGCAGACGGACAGAAAGATCGACAAGAAGAAAGTTTGGAAGCACGTTCAGCAAGGTACTTGACGAGGACGCTGATGTTTACGCGGCTTCACGTAAGTGAGGGTCGTGTTAGGGGATCGGTTAAACGTTCGGGATTCTCTTGTGTACGGTGTGTCCGTCCAGTTTTATATCTCTGAAAGATCACTTTTTAGTTGAAATCCCGTTTACTTAGGGTTAAACGAATATGTTATTCGGACTTCATGAATATCCATTTGATTTCTTAGGATTGGCCGCCCACGAGGAAACCGTGAACTCTAGACGGCGAAAACTTCGGGAAATCCTGTTACGAGAACAGGTGGGTCTGGTTCGCGAGGTAATGGACCAGGCCCAACACGGCGACGACGCGAGGATGGAGGAGATGCGACAGCGGACGGAGGAGCTGCAGAGGCAGCAGGAGGCGCAGCGTCTGGCCTTGGTAGCAGCGAAGAAGACGCAGCAGTACCTGTCCCAGTGTCCGGACATTCGGGAGAGGGTCGTGAAGCAGTACACAGTCGAGGTAAAGGAAGGGAATCTTATTCAAATGGCGGAGAACGAGGCTAAGAGGCAAGCGGACGAAGAAGTAGAGAGACTGTGGCATAATCTGATGTTGAAAGACGTCGAGGCGAAGAAAGAGAGAGAAGTAGAGGAGGCGAAGAAGAGGAGTCTACAGGATCGAGACATGGTGACGACTCTGGAGAAGCAGATAGCTGGGAGACTGTTGCTGGAGGAGCAGAAGAAGCAAGTTCAGAAGGAAGACAAGGAGTACGTGGAGTGTCTGATAGAAGAAATGCGCAAGGACGAGGTACAGAGGGCGGAGAACATTCGTATAAAGAGGCAGGTCCTGAAGAGGGATCTCCAGGAGCAGGTGTTGAACGCGAAGAGACGGCTGGCTGAACAAGCTTGCCGCGAACGGGAGATCGACCGTTTGAGGGACAATCTGGTCGCGGATGAAATTGCCAAGGAACGGAGAAAGATGAAGGAATCGAGCACGGTGCTGCGCAACGAGCTACTGGCCTACCTGAGGTACCTGGAGGATCTCCGAAAGGAGGAAGCCAGAAGGAACCTCGCGGTGGACCGCATTGTGGAGGAGTCGATGAAGAAGGCTAACGCCAGGCGCGATCTCGCGGTGAAGCGGTTCAAGGAGGCCAGGCAGAGAGGCCTTCAGGAGGTTCTTCGAAGTCGCGAGGAACAAATGAGGCTGAAGTGCCAGATGGACAGAGAAGAGGAGGAGAGACGTAGGTTAGAGAAGGAGGAGGTGGAGAAGGAGATCGAAATGGAAGCCAAGCTGGCCGCTCGAGCGAAGGAGGAGGCCAAGGACAGGAAACTGAGGTACAAACAGTATCTGGAGGAGCAACAGAAGCACGCGGACGAGGCACGTCGCCGTGAAACCGAGGAGGAGGAGAGGTGGCACCAGGAAGAGGTGAAACGTCGGGAGGAGTCCCTGAAACTCACCAACGAGCTGCTGATGGCTTCCGAGAACATCATCCCCCATCCGTTCAAGGCGTTGTTGAAGCAATGCATAGCCCGATACGAAGCGGAGAAGAATAATCAGTGCGACTGCCTATATCCTTTATCCTTGGAGTAATTCGAGTATTCGATTGGTCGAGGGAAAAGAGCGTAATCGTATCTTTCATGACGTACTGCAAACTATTGTAGAAACCAATAAAGCGATTTTTAATACTAGAGGATCGTACAACATGTCAGTTTTTGTGAATTGTAGTCAGTTCTGTAAATTTGGAATTTTTATTTTTTTTTTATAATTTGAAAGTGATTGGATGGTATTTACATGATTTCAGATGAACTTGTTTAATACCTCGTTTGTGGATCTACGGTTCACGATGATCTATACAGCAGTTCGTACCGCATGCTCCATCTGTGGCGAACGGTCGAAACGTCGAGTGCCTTTTCCGCCGATACCACAGTTCCCTGCACTATTATCGATCCTCCGGTGGTACGTTTTCCATTTTGAAGCAACGTTTTAACGAATCTATTTAGCGGGACCATGTTCGAAAAGTATTTCGAGCACTCTCGAATTTCTATACAATTTCAAATAATATATATTGTTCTCTCGGAACATACAAGTTTGCATTGTAATGAATTTTGTCGGCAGTGGCGGGTGGAGGGGGTGTGTACATTCTCAAACACACTATCCGGAAGTATGGAAATATAATGAAAATAAACCGTTTCACGGATCGCATTTATCGTTCGTAAAGCATCGGCGAGTGATTGCAACAAAATCAAATTTCCATAACATAATTCCAGACGAATAATTCTGACATCCGATCCGTGTTATTATCCAGGACGCCGGGCGGCTCCGGTATCGCGTATCAAAATAATTATGAAGTCGAGGGTGCAGCGTATATTTCCAGTTCAGTATTTTTTTTTTTTTCTTTTTTTCTTTTTTTCTTTGCTTTCTCATCGGAAGATTTATATTTCGTTAAAAACGCGTCTCGGTCCGCCCGCCTCGGGCTCGATAATTCCTTCGTTTTTCCGTGTTCCCCGCGTGTATATATTTACAGCGACGACGTTAAACTCTCGGAGTCTCTTGCAGCCCCTCCGGGCAATTGCTTTGAAATTCACGGCGAACCAGTCCGAAGTGCAAATTGACATTCCAATTGGATTGAATAACATAACTTGTCCCGACGGCACGGAGTCGAAAGCGTAAATTACCTCCGGTCGTTCGATTATCGGAAAACACGCGACTCCGCGCGTCCGCGAAGGAACGCGACGGAATTAACGAGCGCACGGACAAAAATGAAACTCGGATTAATCGTCTGACATCGAGAGAATATCCAGGTGCAAACATTCAGCTCGCGGTACGCGCGGAACAGAGCCTGTTCCTTGGATGTCGTTGAACTGAAATCGCGATATACGTAGGGATGAATCGATCCAAGTAAATATATTTCGATACCTATTTTTATTATCAATACTTTCGGTTGGTACTTGTATCGAATGGAGCATGTAATCGAAGTAAATGGTACTGAATGAAGGTGTTTATCGTTCAGTTATATTAGTTTGTTAATAAATGTTCGGTAATAAAATATGTCTTCGTTAATAAATGTCCATTAATATGTGTTCGTTAAAACCAGGAATGGACAAATTCGTTCTCTAGATAAAGAGTTTCGAATAACAAATAAAAGATAAAAAAAAAGGGTATCGACATTTTTAATCGTTTTAACGTGTAAATTCCACTTTTTGGAGTACAATAATATTTCTTCCTGAATGAGTCGACATTTGGCAAACAATTATTTAATCTCATTAACTGTTTAAAGCTCTGTATGACGCCCTTATAGGTACTGCAACATTTCACTAAGTATTGTTCGAATAAAATTCTGCTCAACATTCGATCAAACATATTACATTAATAAAAACAGAATTTTCTTTTCATTTTCCTTCGATACAAGTAGGTATCGATACTTTTGATGCCCTACTAATAATAAGTAAATACTTTTTCTCGATACAATATCGATACCTTGACGGTATCTGTTTATCCCTATATACACACGTTCCATTGAAGTGCCATTTAAAGGATGTCACGGGAATCCAAGCTATCGTCAACTTCATTACAACTTCCGCCTCCTGTTCCCGAGAATTTCTCGTTCGCTCACCCGAACCTCAGCGTTGACGGTACAATCTGCCACGATGTGCTCAGACATTTCCCGTAATCCGTTCAGTGATTCGTTCCAGAGTAAATTTCCTCGTGTATTAAATTCTTTTCAAATATCCTCCCCAGCCGCGGTTCCATATCCAACGATACATATAAAAATATTTCTGTTCGGCTACCGACGCGTCTAGCAATTTCGCCCCGATATCATGTGTATCCGCCGAAAACCTCCGTCCCACTGGAAGTCGCTCCAGGGGGATATCGGTGGACGTGGATGCTTCGAAGTCAAACCCGTTTAACGCAGAATCCCAAGTATGAATACGTATCAAAGTTCCGTGGTTCGGTGTCACAGTCACGAGATCTGTTGCCACGGTATTCCCGTGTATTCTGCGCGGCTCGGAGGATCGTCTTTTCCACGGTTATGCTCTCGTCTGTCCCACGAATGCTAATATACATACGTGTACAGGTAAGGTAGTACGGAACGCGCGGCACGTTTCGCCGCAATTCATACCGCAACCTGGTTATCTTTACAACGATGGAAAAAAAAAACCGACGCCTGTTTGCCACTTTCGTTAGAGGGATCCCTTTTATCGAGTCTCGTTTTTTCTTTGAGACCTTCGGTGTATGTGTTTCCATTCTTTACACGTGCTCGGTCATTAATCGATTACGCCCGCGCGAGTGATCGTCTCCCGGTCTTTGAATTCGAAGGAAATTGTTTGCGGAGAATTTATCGGGGCCTGTCTCTCTTTGGATCAGCGATGGGCAACCGAGCCCGCTGGGGCATGTTGCCCGCACGGGCAATGGCGGGCAGCCGCGGGCTCCTGTGAAGGCGACGCGAGGCAGGAAACGTAACGACATATTTGCGTATTGGGATTCCTTGACCCTTTTCGCACAGTTTAATCTAAACTGGCGTATCACTCGATAGAAGTAACCTGACTTTGTGTCGGTACGCGAAAATGGTGCCTTTGTATTATTAAGTAGTATTATGTATAAGTAGAATTTAAAGCAATTGTTATTAAATTTATACAAATACTATTGTAAATTGTATATTTTCTTACGATTTTTGAGTAATTTTGACTAATATCAATTAACCAAAAAAGTAATAAGAAATAATAGATAATAACGAAATAATTAATTCTAGAACTTTTAAGTTTTGGAAGAAGTTCTGGAATTAGCGCCAATGTTCGCCGCCAAAGTGGTGGAGGCGTCACTAAATGTCCCATAAATTCCCAAATTTTTCCGGCACTTTTCTGAATCCAAGATGACGGAAAAACCTGTGCATTGGCTTCAGGATTCCAAACTCTATCACTATGCTAAACCTTGTTAAAAAGTCAGCGTCACACCTGAGGATCTCTCCTTGTCAGTGCCAAGAAGCTTACGAAAAGTCGCTTTTCCTATATGCAAAGTTTAACAAACAAAAGTTTAATACTTTCTAAATATTTTTACCATCCGGTAAAACCATCCCGCCAGAAAATTGTTAAACCCTCCCGCCAGCAGATTCTTAAACCCTACTGTCCACGTAACTCATCTCATTTCTGTCATACTGTCACACGAAGTTTATTTTTCCTATTCCTATTATTGTAACTTATCGTACAGGAAATGACGCTATGCTCGTGTACATCGAGGATGGGCTTCGAGCTATCAAAAGGGCTCCTATCGAATCACGTACACGCGTAATGGTAAAAGTAACGCCTAAATCCTTTCGGAAAAAGGATCAATAAAACGTGGATAGGCGTTGCCAGCCTGCGATCGATTTGCTGTCACCTTGGTGTAGCATAACCCCCCCCCCCCCCCCCCCCCCTTTGCTAATGGAATGGTTAAACTCCCTGCAGCATCCAGCGGAATAGGGAATCCTCTGTGGCAGAAATCTCGGAGTCCCGTTCCACAAAAGGAAACACCGATATTCACCCCCCTATTCTCGATGATTATCGGTTCTCGTGAGCCAGCAACCCGCGGCCCCTAACGACCAAGCCGGATGGCAAGGGGTTAAAAGGGACAGTGTTTCGTGTGAAGGGGGCGGTTGATCCAGGCCTATCGTGGTCGGACATGTGCATCCGTCGACGATTGATCGAACGTTGACGAGACGGTACATTGCGGTTTGTCTAGGGGTCCCGAGATCTACCAAAGGTTAGGGGTTGCAGTCGTCGGTGATCGCTTTGAGTCGTCTTGTAGATTCCAAGAGGACGCCTAGGATCATTCTTTTTTTTCCACCTTTCCGACGACACGTCTGGCTCCGTTGCCTCTAGGGGGTGACTGGCTTCACCTGCACACGCGTGTACACGCTCCTATAACCCGCGGACAGACGTTGCGTCGCCGTGGGAGAAGGAAGAGGAGGGGTGTGGCGCGACGACGACAAAGGAAAGTAACGAAGAGGGGTAAAGACTCGGCGGATATGGAAAAGAAGAGAAATGGAGAGTAATAAGAGGGGGTGGGTCAACGACTGAAGGAGACAACGTGTGATTCCGGGAGAGGTTGGAGATCGAGGGAACAAGGTAGAGAAGGAATGCGCCGGGAGGGTAAATATCCGGTACTGGAGAAAAAGCAGAGACGAGGGATGGGGATCGAGTGGCTGCGCGGGGGTAATTGAATGGAGAGAAAAGAGAGCGGGAAATGGGGACTGAGTAAAAGGCGCGAGGATTCATTGACGGCGGGAAGAAAACAACGTTTAAGATAGAATAAAGGGGAGGGTTAAACGAAGAGGGCTCTCGCAAATATGACGCGTGAAGGGTGAACACTCGCGCGAAGGGGCCGACCGAGGGTACATCTCTCTGGCTGGTAAACAAACGATGGATTAAAGGAATGACAGAATAACGACACACGGCCGTTTGAATCCCGAGCACCAGACTGGCGAAACAACGAGAGGAAATAAAAATATGGAGGTATAAATGAAAAAAGCAAAAGGGAACCACGGTGGAATTGTTCGACCGAGGAACAAACGAAAAGGAGATACAGAAGTGGAACAAAAGGGGCGAATGAAGATC